AGAGACAGAGACAGAGACAGAGACAGAGACAGAGACAGCGACAGCGACAGAGACAGCGACAGCGACAGAGACAGAGACAGAGACAGAGACAGAGACAGAGACAGACAGACAGAGCACGTCTGCGCCGCTTGCCATCCGCTTTCCCGAAGGTGCCTCGCTGGTAGCACAGCGCGAAGGAGTCCAGGCGCATCTCCTCAAGGAGAGACCTGGCACACACAGAACTTAAGCCGAGTCGTGAGTGCTGGTGGGGTGGGGCCTCTGACATCGCACCTCACTATGCGGTCTTGCGAGCTTCCACGCTTGTCGAGCCTTTCTTGCGCCCTGCCCTCCCCAACTCGAAACTGAGGTTGAAGCACAAAGGTTAAAGACTCTTGCTGCTTGCCTGCTTCAACGGCTGCGCCGGGTTGGAATTCGTGGGTGAGCGATCCCTCCCAGGCCGACCCACCGTTTAAAAAGGAATACGAAAGGTCTCGAACGGTAGACATTCGAATCAGTCGCATGTGCTCGCGATTTGCATGCCACTACACCTAGTGAACTCGAAAAAATCTGCATCTTGCATCTCCAAATGCCGGATGCCCTGAGAATCAGATAGGTCCAAAGCTGGCCCCGAACCAAGCCCTTCCGAAAACCCTGCCGGCTGCCCTACGACTTCTGGTTCACCCCAGGCCCTTACTGGTAATGCAGGAAGTCCGTAGCCTCAAGCAGTAAGTAACGACAACCTTGACCCAATCGTGTCAGAGTCACCTGTCTTCGCTGGAATCGCCGCTGAAGCCATCAGGGATTCTCTTCCTCTGGTAGCATATTTTCAGCGGTAGGATGCAAAACACGACAACCCCAAAGCTGAATTGTAATTATAACACTCGTGACCGCAAGGCTATCAGTAGACCAAGGCTCACATGAGATAGACCAACAATTCCGGAAAAAATTGCCTGAGTGCTGGGAAGGTGGCAGAGCCCAGTAGCGAATGTCTCATCTTTTCTGAGCCGATTGCATGCCCGGTCTTCCAGAACTTCAACTCGTGGCTTTGCACCATCCAGAACGTCATATCGGAGGCAGCCACGGGAGAGTCTCCTCGGCTTGCCGACTTGCCGTATCTCGTGCCAAAGATCTGTTACAAAACAACTTAGCCTCAAATACCCGGAAGGCCGGATGCAACAAAGCCTCGTCTGCCTAAACGTAGGGTTTCGAAGCCCTTCCGCTGCGGAACAAACCATGAAGTAGTGCGATCAGTTGCTTTAATGCAAACAACATGCACTTGTCCGCTGGCCTCTGCTGTAACCACATCTCCACTCACGAACTCATGCTCGGCAACGACCTCAGTCGCAGGGAGCACGCGGTTAACTCAGGCGTTGTCAACGCTGCAAGCACGGATAGGCCCTTGGCATGCTTGGGGCTATCCCTAAAAGAGCTCGACTTCTTGTAGTCATACCTCCAACACATGCAGGGATGCCCTCAGCACTGAGCTGTACAACAGGCAAGGTCCTCTAAGATCTGTTGCGCGGCAAGCGGCATCGAAAGGGTCTTCACGCATGTGTTGCACTTCGTTGACAAGACCAGCACCTGCCCAATGCCGGCTCATGGGAAGCTCGACTCGAACTACGACACAACGTTGCGATGGCTTGCGCTCCTCAAAGGACCCCGTGTCGTAGATAACTGGAAGCTCCTGCTCGCCTGCAGCACACAGTGCATTTGCAGACTGCAAACCCGTCAACACGAGCTAGGGTGACAGGTCCGTAAGAACCACGCAGGAACCTAAACTTGGGCTAGATGTAGATGCAGCCGGAGTTTCCGACTGTGAAGCGACCGCTGTACTGCACATTCAGGTGATTGTCCAGCCTTTGATGGCAGGTCTGCAAGTGCAAACAGCAATGCATAACATTCATGGATTCACGGTAGATGCTTGGGCTGTGCACTGGATGCTGTATTCTCTGGAAGGCATCACGAACTCCTGTAGACTAGACAGCAAGACCAGCAACACAAACATGCTGAGCAATGAAATCAGCAATAGCTCCTGTTTGTTTGCATCATCTCGTTTTGAAAGGGACACAAAGTTCTCGGCATCGTCCTGACACGAACATACAACATACCAATACGATGGTCCCTTGATGGCCAGAGAGTCCCAGCCCCCTCAACTCTGGCACATGCCTTCTTGGCGAATGCATTTATCATGCCGTCTGCAACCTGGCGAAGCTTCTGCTGATGCGGAAACCCTTTCCGTTGTGTGCAGCCGAGTATGGGTTGGCAAAGATGTTGGGGCATCTACGCTTTGCCTCGCTGTCAGTTCCGACAGCGACTTTCTTGGACATGTGCATGGTGCTCACCTCAACGCGGTCTTCAAATTGAAGGGCCATATGCGTTTCTATGCAGAGTTCGGTCAGGCCCCTGGCTGTTGTCCGCAACGGTTGAGCATTGACCTTACAAGCGCACTATCGCAAGTTGTTGCGCAGGCCACATCAAGCAGCACATGCATCGCATGCCAAAGACAGTCTTCTGCCAGTGATGTGGGAGCCTGGTGCAGCGGGTCTTGCCGATGAGCATGCGGCCTCAAATGGCCTTCAACCTGAATCGAATACAGCAGCAAGCGTGGATTGCAACACTCTGCCATGCATGGCTTCCCGGCATTGGCAGCAATCTTCGCAGCCAACGAAAGCTGCGCTGCCTAGCGAGTGTCACAGCACGAATTCTTTCCAAGCAACGAGGTTTTGGGCAGGAAGTCCACTTTGCCATGGGATCTTCTGTGCCAAGAAGCTAACAGGACCGCAGCGAAAGCAGGCAACCTGACAAGCACCGATTTGTCATGCAGCGAGGGTGTGAGGGTGGGTAGGTGTACTGTGCTAGTTCATAGGCTAAGGGGGGTCACGGTTTGGAGGGGGTGTAGAGAGCTCCGTCCAACGAAGCTCTCC